CTCAACCCAATGGTAAAGGGGAACAAGTGCCCTAAGCCTCCACACCTTCCAACATGCATGGTTTGTTCTGGGTCATGTCCAAATCCTGGACCACCGGCAGAGCAATGATAATTGAACAGGACCAGCAACGCAACCCCACTGATACCAACCAGAAGGAGCATTGGATACAGCTACTCAGGAACTGGCAGGAGACCTTCCCCGCCAAAGTACGCATGCCCACCACCAGGGACGAGGACTAAATACGTTAACCACTCTTCTGCAACCAATGGCTCAAAGATGGCACGGGCAAACCATGGACGTTGACAGCGAAAGATGACCGCTGGACCACCTGGATTGAGAAAGGAGTGTGGTAGATACAACACCTCTGGTGGAACGGTGAGCAAAACTGTTGGAGCTCCGACACCGAGCTGCAGGGGAGCTTGAAGGGATGTCACAAACTGCAGCAAAATTCGTACGCGCTTCTACAGTCCATTCTACAGTGCTGGACCGCCCTGCTACACAAGGCCCCTATTTGGGCGGCAAAATAATGGGCCATGTGGACACGGGAAGACCCCCCCACCACGCAGGGAACTGGGTCTATGTTGGAACTTTTGGGTTAGGGGCCTCTGGCTATCCCAGTTATCGCTTTTCACACTTAGCGGGTCTTCAACTGTGCATTTGGCCAACTCTGGGACTCTGCTCTTTCCCTCCAGGACCTATTCTTGTCTTCTCTCCGCAAGTTTGTTCTGGGAGTTTGCCTTTTGACTCTGCCTTCGGCCTGTTCTCGGGCTTAGGGGTCTCTGGCTATATCGGCCCAGTTTTTTTGGGCCAATTCTGGACTCTGCCCTGTCTTTCGGCTCTCGTCTCCTCTGCGAATATTGGTCTAACTGAACTCTGATCGCGCTTGTCTGTGAAAGTCCTCGTGTATATAGGTAGGTTAATTTCTCGATATCTGGGTCTTTAAACTTTCTGTACGTGACTAGGGTCTACAGTGCGATTTGACCTTGGATGGGTGTTTGTTTCGGTCCTAGAATTTGACGTAAGATTTTGGCGCGATGTCTCTCTCGTCTCTGGCTACTTATTCGAGGAAGATGATCACCACGGCCTCATCCGCGGCTGTTCAAGGACCCCTGAAGATGGGCGGAGTAGCACATGGGCGAAACTGGTTGGATCGCGCTACCCATCCATGGTCAGAGTGCTGGCGGCTATGCCGCTTGACATGGAGATGATGGGTTGGTCATAGGATTTCTGCATTCTATGTATATATTTTTCGTAATCCTATCTGGGTTGTTTTCGGGATACACGGTGATCGCTCTCGTTCCCCGGCCTTCTTCTCTATATGCCGGGTGTCCGCAGTCGCGTCCTGGTCTTCGTTCGTAGTTCTGTCTCTCTCTTCTCTGCCTCGGAGTCCCTTTCCTTTCTTCCCCTCTTTCCCTCTTTTCCCCTCTATCTCTCTTCATTTCTTGATCCTCTCCCTCCGCTGCTTTGCTCAAGGAAGACTTAATGTTGGATGGATGTTTTCGCCTTGTCATATCTGAAAGATTGAATATGAAAGGGTTTACTCTATTCCACTTTGTCAAAAGCACGGGACCGGGGGGGAAATGGGGGCTCATGACAATACATGATATCAAACAGCCGAAACGAACGGTTAGCCGAGTTGCCGAAATTGTTCGAGCACAGGCAACGGTGAAACTTTGTCTCCTCATAAAAGTTTGAACCGTAGAAGACGGGGACTACAGGATTTACAAGCCCGCCACGCCAATTCAGGACCTCGAGCTTGACCCGACAGAGCGGGCTTGGAAACTGGCAACCTCCACCGGGTTGGAGCGCCAAATTAATGTGCTGTGACTACTCCATATGACTGGGATGCAAGCTAAGACCTCGAGCTGTCAACACACGCAACATACTGGTACAAAGGTGGGAGAAGCACGTACTTGGAGGGCCGGGCGGACGGAGAACGATCCCATGTCAAGTGGTGCTGTATATCTGCAACACCTGAATCAAAAGCATGCAGTGTCCCATTGTCTACAGCACACTCTCAGTTAACGAGTGGTTGACCGAGCAATGATCGCTCGCCACCAGGCATGCCCTGGAGGAGATCTACACTGTCTGCGACCAGGGAGCAGTGGAGGACGCCGTTCATTGTCTGCTCTCCTACCTGAAGGCATGACAGCTTTGGGACAAAGCCAAGGCCTCTGGCACTCCATGGTAGGCACGCCTCTCCCTGACAGCCCGGTGGCTGTGCTCATGGGCTTTGCAGAGCCAGCGGGCTAGGAAGGTGGGAGCAAAGATTCTATAGAGGACTCCAGCCCTTGATGCTCTGGACAGTCTCGAAATGCAGATGCAAGGAGGCCATTGATACAGAAATCATACCACCAGAAGAAGCCTGGGAGGGACTGATCCAGACACTGCAGGTCGAGTACCACTCCTACTAGTACAAGACCAAGCAGCTAATCAGAAAAGACCGTGCTAAGCCTAACCAGGCTAGCTCAGTTGGTTTAAGCACGAAGTGGTCTGCAGGAGGTCGTGGGTTCGATTCCCCACATCATCCATTCCATCCCCACGGCCTCCTGTGATGTGCTTCGGGTTCTCCAGCTGAGATGACTGGTTTGGGCCCCCTGGTTTGTTGGGAACCGATGGCTTTCCTGAAACGGTATTCACCAGTTCGCAGTAGCACATGCAGATCCCAGGGCTCGATCCCTAGTTCCCCATCTTACCTGTGTACAGTATTGATGACAACCCGTAGATTTGAACCTGCGACCTGTCGAAACGCCAGTGGTAGGTAGAATGTCGTAGGTCACAGCT